TGTTGTTGTTGTTGTTCTTCTTCTTTTTGTTGTTCAAAAGTTCCAGGGTTGTCCGCGGACTTGACGACCCCACGTCTGCATTCTCAAACATGCATGAGGAGGCTTCTGTTTGCATCAGGAATCGCATTGAGAATCTTTGGCAGGGGGGCAGCGGACACTCTGGGGCACTGCCCAACAAAGACCGCCCAGAGATGTCGTGAAACAAAGGTGAGCGCACGTTTATGTGCCAGCCAACGTGATGTGTGACATCTACTCTTACACGGTGTATCTTGGAAGTGTTGGTGCCACCAGTACTTTGTATTCATTGTAGAATTACATGAGAAAAATCGGGAGATGCAGTACAGACAGGACAGTCCGACATGTTGTACCGAGCGTTTGCAAGTGCAGTGGATGACTCAGACATGTACACTGTACACTTTTCCAGTGGATGATCCAGACATGTAATGTATTCCCTAGTTGCAAGTTGATATGTGCATTTGCGTTTCGATCTTGAACATGTTTGTTTGGAAGTGTGGATTTGAAGGAAAAACCTTTGACATGATTATTCCAGTGTTGAGAGAAACCATTGAACCAGCACAAGCCCTTCAGACAAACTGCAAAGACTAGAACCACACCGACCGGTACTCCGCACTTGGCATTGGCAAAGGATGCGTACACACGCAACGTGCACCGGAGCAATCCTACATGTTGTTGTTGTCGTCGTCGTGATGGTTGTTGTTGTTGTTGTTGTTGGGAACCAGTTTCCGCAAGTACTCTTGCCTGAAGGATTTTCCATACCATGTATGAAACGGAAGTACACATGACATTATTGACTCAGTGTGTGTGTATAAACTTCTGCTAGCAAGAGTGATTTGAAAAAGAGTGTGCGGTTGGCAGGGACAGAGCAGCTAGTGAGAGCACATCCAACCAAGACGCCCACGTTCTCTGGTGATGCATTGGAAGAGGTTCCAATGTGTACCTGCAAAGCGGCCCTCTGAGGCAGCAAGATTTGAAAAGCTGCCCCCTGGGACAGCATGATTTGAATTTCGCTGTAGGCTTAAATGCTATGTACGGTTGCCCCTTGGTCAGTTGTGCCAGACTATGTACAGTCATGTATGTCTCGCAGCAAAATTTTCAAGTTGAGGCAAGTTTGAGACGTCAAAGAAGGTGCAAAGTGCAAAACAATCACCACAGGATGGTGATTGGGAAGCAGCAAAGCCGTTGGGCATAAGCGCACAAAAGGGTTGAGGACCTCCACTCCACTGAGACCCCGGTGCAACCAGGTCTGACTTAGTGCAGGCATCCAGCTCAGGTGCTACATGTCAGTATGGTTGTGCATGTGTGTGTGTGTGTGTGATTGTGTGTGTGTTGCCTCGCTTGCATGCATTAGCACCCCTCGTTTATAGTAAATCGCAATTGTTTTGGAATGCGGTTGGGTTCTGTTTCTCGAGGCCAAAGCGGAAGCGGCAAAGAAGCGGGCCAGAGATGGCTTTGGCGAAGGTGACGGAGACTGGATGGAAAGCGACCCCGACAGGCACGTTGGTACAGCAATCAGCTTTGGCTTTGCTCAAGTTCATGTGCAGGAGCGAGCAATCCAGCGAAGAACAGATGGAATCCTACTTTGATCTTGTCAAGCGATACACCACAAAAAAGACGCTGCCAACTGCCGAGCCGGCATGTTGTCAGATCCTACTGTGATTGCAAAGCGGCAGCCACAGTTGGCTGGAAGAAACAATTTCTGAACTGTCATATGGCTGTCCGCACCTGAATTCAACCATCCGGTGCCACACTGCTGCCACCCGGCAGCGGTTCGTGCTCGTAGGGTTGGTGGCCGCTGGAAAACCAAGCTGATTCTGTGTTTGCCTGGCAGAGACATGTTGTGGACTGCCTGCTAGCAGAAAAGATTCTCGTGCAACCCATCAGTAGTGGAGTTCAATGTCGTTTCTCTTCGAAACTTCGTGGCAGGTGGACCATGACAAAATCGAATACAAGGCCTTCCGCAAAAACCTGTATGTCCAGGCACAGCTTTGGCCAGCTCGACAGTCCACAGCAGAAGCTTCAAGCTTTCGCATTATCAACATGCAGGTCAAGGAGATCACCAACATGAAAGATCACGAGGCGGCCACCCAAGCGGCCCAGAAGGGCACACCCACATCGACTGCATGGCTGCTTCACCACGGAGGTAGCTGACCTCCGAAGAACTCACGGGGACATCACAGTGAGGGGAAAGCCAGCACCTAAGCGTGTTGGAGGAAGCAGCCTGCAGTGCTGCGTTTCAGCTGCACAGCCAAGGCGGTGCCCACATCCCGTGACAAGTTTCTTGCAGTCGCCTCTTCAGCATCGCGTGCTTCTCCATCGGTGCTTCAAACTGTTCAGCTACAGGTGTGGCTTGCCTGACAAGATCATGAAGATCATGGAGAAACGAGACTACGAGAAACCCTTCCCCATACAGATGCAGGCTCAAATGTTGCGATTCTGTAGTCATGCTGAAGATGTGCGGATCTGCACAAATTTGTACAACATGAGGTCTCGTGCTGGGTTTGTTGTCAGAACACGGATCCCCATAGTCGGCATCTGAAGGCAACTTTATCAGTCTGCCAGGCAATTCCTGCTTTGATGTGTGGCCGCGATGTCATAGGCACCGAGATAATTGCCAACTTTGGCTCCGGTATTTGTGCGTGAATGAGCCTGAATGCGAGGTGTGGCACAAACTGGCTCTGGTAAGACTCTGGCCTACTTGCTGCCGCTAATCAGGTGCTCTCTTTCAGCCTGCGCAGTGTTCATGAAAGGTCAAGAATGCCAGCATATCGCAGGCACATCCTGGACCAGCCAAAGCTTGGAAATGGCGATGGGCCGATTGGGTTCGTGGTTCGGGTCCAAGTATGAATTGACCTGAACTTAGCAAGGTTGATCTCTCTAGCTCTTCATGCTGTGCCGGGTCGCTCACGACTTGTGCTCAGAGACAGACTTGCTTTAATTTGTTTCCGTTGGCTCCTTTGCCACTGGGCTGTGGTAGCATGTCATTTTAGCATATTTTAGCATGTTTGCAGGGCACTTGGGGGGGTCTCTGCGCTCTTTCCTAACGTGACCGGAAAACATGCGGGCCAGAGGGATTGCTTGGCAGACTTGATGGGCATATGCCAGGTCATTTCTTTGGCCTCACAGCTTTCCAAAAACCAGCTAGCGTGTCGCTGCATTGCAGGTTGCACCCACTCGCGAGCTCGCCCTACAGATTCAGCGAGAGGCAAGCACCTTCTGCAAGGACGCTCGCCAGCACTGGGCAATGGGCCGAATGTGCCGAACTCCACAGTTCCATGCAGCATCCACAGTGAATCGACGAGGCTGTTCATCTGATCAGTGTCTGCGCGTATGGTGGTGGTCCAATGGGTGAGCAGCTCTCTGCCCTGAAGAAAGGTGCCTGGGTTAGCAATTCAAGCAATCAATTTTAGGCGCCTATGGGTCCTTGGTCGGGTCTTGGCTTGAACGTAGTCTACCTTGTAAGAAGCAGCGATCTGCACGTGGCAAAGGGATGGGGGTTCCTGGCCTCGACGGGGTCAAGGGGGCATCTTACATTTAGAAGGGGGGGGCCCGAAAAAAGTGAAAGTACGGCACAGAGCTGAAGGCTACCAGGATGGGGTTCACAAATTGAGTGGTTTCGGTTTGAGTTCGACATCGACGGTCGCAGTTCGCTGCTTTGCAGGGGCCGAACTCCTTGTTGGAACGCCTGGCCGTCTCATTGATGTGGAATTCTGAGAGCATATTGCAACTGTCCAGTGCTGCCCCAAAACAGGTTTGCTCCCGGGATCTGGCAGGTGCTGACGACATCAGGTGGCAAGATCACAAACCTGAGGCGAGTGACTTTCCTGGTGTTAGACGAGGCTCGAAGCTCAATTGCTTGCATCTTACTGGTCACAACGTCGTCGACTGTAATGAGATGCCCAGGCAGACCGAATGTTTGATATGGGGTTCGAGCCGCAGATCGGCATGTTCTTGCAGAGCACGCGGCCTGATAAGCAGGCTATCAGCTGCGCTGTGGCTTTGAAAGCTTTTGTCATGTGACATCTACTGAAGAGCATGCAGGTAGCCATGTTCAGTGCAACTCTGCCAGCGCACGTTGAAGCGTTGGCTCGAAAGGCTACGGGCGCAGCGTCTTGTTTGCTCATGACGCAGGGCAGAGCAAGTCACACTTGAGAGGTTCTGAAGAAGCCTTTGGAGATTTCAGCCGTAACCTCGGAGTTGTGTGCTTGCAGCTGGGTGCGGAAAGAGCAACTCACATGACAGGTTGGAGAGAAAAACACGGCTGCCTCAAATGTCACGCAGTTTGTAGAGGCCTTGCTTCTTGAAGCGCAATTGCTCAAGTTCCCCCGTCACAGAATTGGTGTTTGGCGTTGGTGGTGACATCCCTTTCTTCAAACGTTTCATCTAGCATTCGATGCAGCAAAGAGTTCGTACAGGAAGGGGTTGTAGCCTATAGCTTTACCCTTCGACAATCCTCCGGTGAAGGGCCCAGGGGGTCAGAGGTAGTTGCCCTTCCATGCATGATTCGTACTACTCCACTTTTGAGTTTTGGTTGGTTATTGTGAGTTCTTGTTTTTTGGCGGTTGATTCTCTCCGCTGAAGCTCCATCTGGCTGTCATTCGTCAGTTGCAGTTTTCTTCCTTCGTCTTGTGCGGGGGTTGGATGATCGTTAAGCTTAAAAACAAAGGTCACCAAGCGCAGGAGGCGGAGGTTCTCCCGTCGCCATCATTGCAGAGATGGCAGCGACACTTTCGTGGCTACGGTTCTTTAACACATCATGGTCGTTGCTGTCAGCATCGTCGTCGTTGTCGTCGTCATGGCGGGTGGGATTTGGGTGCGGGGAGCTGCTGCTGATGCTGCTGCTGCTGCGGCTGCGAAGCTTGCCACAGCGGTTCAGCAAGATTAAGTTCCTTGGGCAACTGACGACATGAGGTTTGCTGTTTTAGGTCAGCCTTTTGCTGAAAACGCTCGCCATCGATTACCAATCAAGGTGATACCATTCAACAATCCGATAGGGTATGACTAGGTTCTTGGGTCATGCTGATTTTCGTTGCCCTTGTTTGGCTGCTGGTGGGGTTGATTTGTCACGGTCATCTCTTGATGTTCTGCAGGTTTTGGACGAGAGCCAGAAGTTTTATCGGCTTCTCCAGCTTCTGGGAGAATGGCATGAACATGGTGCTCCGACAGATTACACTCGCCTTGCCTGGTTCAAGGCTTCAAGGTCCCAAACAGCTTTGCCAATGGCTTCATCGGAATAGACTAGCTGCTGGTGTTGCATCTTTCAGAAGCCGAAGCCAATATCAAAGCAACATCATTTGACGGCGATGCACCTCAATCATTTCACAAATCGCTGCATTGCAGGAAGTAAACTTGTAGTACAAGTGGTGCCAGAAGGGTCGAATCAGCCTGTGTGAGCGAGATTGAGAGGGAAACCCTGTTTCTTTGTCAGCACATGTCAGCGCCAAAAAGTGTGCTTGAGTGAGCTGCATTTGCCTGTTTGTCTAGGCACAATGACACATAGATCGTTCATGTGTTCGACTTCCTCTTGCAATCAGTTCAAAGTGCCGTTACATGGGAGATTCTGCGACACTATGCTCCCAGCTGGATGTGTACGCTCACAAACAAGCGGCAGAACCCTGATGCCTTTCAGATGCTTCATATGCACTGATGCATTTCTTTTATGTGGGTGTTCGTGCTGAGCGGGCAACAATACTGTGAATGCTGCATGCTGGCCATGACAGGTGCCATTATGATATTCGTGCATCAGCAAAAGGCCACGTGGTGCCATGATGCAGGGGGCACATTCGTTAGACGGGCTGCTTGAGGATGTGGACGAGATGTTCACAGAGCTGCTCAAATACGGATATCCTCCACTTGCGCTGCACGGGGGCCAGGCCCCGCCCCCCCCTTTCTTAGAATTGCAGTCAGATACTTGCGTGGCACATGGAGGACCAGCAAGACCGAGATTTCACCTTGCAAGACTTCAAAGACGGCATATCCAATATCCTCATTGCAACATCCGTTGCTGCCAGAGGTTGCGCCGAAGCTTGTGAAGCTTGAGCTGGTTGGTAGGCAGCGCAAGCTTTGGCAGGAATTGACGTCAAGAATGTCATCTTGGTTGTCAATTTCAAGGTGACTCCGTAGACTAAAGTCCAGAACACATGACCTGCGCGACCCTCCAGCTGTGGGGTGTAGGTTCCAGACCACCTTGAAGACTACATTCACCGCATTGGCCGTACTGGCCGGGCTGGCAAGTCAGCTGCTTACATTGTGCTACTTGGAGTTTCTGTTGCCATACTGTCCAAAGCAATGTCGAAGTCAGGGCCGGCTTTGCCTACACTTTCATTCAGCCTGATGAAGCAGATCGAGCCCAGGATATGCGTCTGACATTCTACGCTAAGTCTTGCTTCCGGAGTTGCCCGGCAGGACTTGGTGGATGCCCTACGTCAATGCAACCAGGAGGTCCCCCTGAAGCTGAAGGCATTGGCAGAGGAGTGCTGGAAGTTTGCCTGATCACAGGCGAGCGGGCTCAAGAAGGCTTCAAGGATCTTGTCGCACATCTATTGCAGGAGCATCAGACTGCCGTCAACACTGGCCAAGCTCGTTGCCAAGCTGTCACAAAGTTTTGTAGACATGCCGATAGTTGCGGCACTTGCTGAGGCACAAAAGCGAAAACGCTGGGGTGGCTTCGGCCAGATGCTTTGTCAGTGAGCAGAACGCAGCAGGGCAAGCTCAGTCGTGAAAGACTTCATAATCAGAGGCTGTTTGCTTCTGTCAGACTTCTTGTTCATGCTGTTTCAGCGCAGGGCGTGGCTGCACCTGAGCCGCAGCGTTGACTCTGCCAAGGTGGAAAGAGCTTTAAGTACGACAACACCGAGAAAAGCAGGACAGGAGTCTGCTGCTGCTACTTTGGAGCCATGTCAGCCTGCCAGGCAGCAGCAAGAGCGACAACAGGCGAAGAGTGATCTGCTGATTGGAGACTGGGAGGACTGTTATAGTTTTTTCAAGAAGCTCACTGTTCTGGCTGACGCTCGTGCACGCCAGCTGCTTCTAGGAGGAGGATGAGTTCAAAGATCCGTGGCTGGAGCCGGACAAGCCAGCCAAAGGCAAAGGCAAAGGCAAACAGCGGGATGACCAAGCTGCGCTCGAGCCTCACAGGCCAACCAGTTGCGAATTTAGAAATGGAGAACCCTCATGCAGGTCTGCCACGGCAGCTGGAAATACCAATACAGTAGCAGCCGCAGCTGATGTAGCTGCCAAGATGCAAGCAGCTGCGGTGCGGCCGGCTTCACTTAAGATCATCGTCTCTCCAGTGCTGGTAATTCCGTTTTTGTGGCTTATGATGTCAACAAGGCAGGCAATGGTGGAAACATCCTCCCATGCTTATTGTTCAGAGCGGTGGCTTGTGTAAAACGCCCAACCAACCCCTGCTCAGAAAAAGGAGGTGTTTTATGGGTTGCCGCAAGCTGTGGCAGTCGAAAAGCCCAGAAGTCACATGGGCAGGATCACTACATCCACGATGCCTTTGAGTCGCGCTAGGCAGCAGATTTTCACTTTTGTTTTGACGGCCTAGAAGCATTTGTATCCCGGTAGTAGATAGCACTCCTTTGTATTAGGGTCTCTTTGCAACTGCTTTACATGTTTAGCTCAAGCTTTGCAAGCTGCAGTCATTCCGCGGGGCCACACATTTTGGATTGAATGTGCTGAAAAACGAACAGCCTTCAAAGGGTTTTCGGAGCAATTCGAGGCCCTCAAGGAGAAAATCGCATTGGCATCCCCGCCATACGCGCCCTGTCGCAAGGAAAGTAAATTCCTTCTGAGGACCTGTGTCGGCTGTATACGAGCCTGGATCGCAGCTTGATGTATGTTTCTCAAAAACACATTTTACAGAGCTAGAGCTAAGAAAAAAAACAAGCTCACCTTCAAACACATGTTTGCAATGCATCCAGTTCGGGGACCCTCTGGATTGATCTTGTACTTTTCCAGACACCCAAGATCATGGGGACCTTTCACTTCTTAACTCCAAGCAGCCCAGAAGCTAATGCAAACCTGGGTAAGATGAACAAGTCTCGAGGGACCCCCCCAAGACTTGTCGGGACCTCCTGGCATGTCGTGACTGGAAATTGAGGATCTCGCGAGGTTCCAATATTCTGGGCAGCTAGGGATATTTCCATGTAAATCCTCCATCAAAGGTAACCAGCTTTCACTGAGGTTCGCCAGATTTTGGAGATTCTTCAGATTCGACGTAAAGAATAACAGATTTTCCCAACAACATCCACAAATGCCTCTAGCGTGTTGAATCTTACACAATTTGGAACTAGAATTTAAGTCCAAACAGCCTTTCACCAATCCCTGGAGAGCCACCAATCTTGGACTAATCCTGCTAAAAGTCAGCTGGGGCCTCCGCCAAACGCTGGAGGGGTCTTGACCTCCGTAAAAAGCAAATTTCAAAGATAGCCAACTTTCAAGGGAAGTCCATCAGCACCTGGAGATGACTCCTTATGTAAATAATGATAATCATGTTTGCCCTAGTTGAACTTACAGTGAACGACTTTTCGTTTCTGTCAAATTCAACGTCAATCAGCAACCAGAGTGCTGAGAAAAGCCACACGCATTCCAAACAGTGCTCTTCCGGCAGAGGCAGACCTTTCAATGACCATATGCTCCATGCTTTTTCCTTGCCAGGCGAAGCTCAATGGGGCCAGCGATGATGCCAAGCAGTCAGTTTGTGTTTACGATGAGCAATGAGCATCCATCTTCCTCACGATGCCCTTCAAGGCCAGCTCGCCGGGCAACGCAGGTCCAAAAATGGGATTCTGGCACAGCTGCCCTCTTGTCTTGATTCTGGGGCTAGTTTTGACCATTGCAGGTATCGCTGCTGCCACGCCTGCAGCGCCTGTGAAAGTCAAGGCTTTTGGATATTGGATGCTGGTGTGAACATGTGTCTTGATGGTGCGCTTTGATTTGCGTTGGACTGCGCAAAGGCAACTCAGAAGAGGTCTGAGAGAGAGATACAGGTAGGCTGGTGCTCGTACTGAGAAGGTTTGTAATCAACTTTGATATGGTGCTTTGCAGGAGCAGGCGCGTCAAATGGCGCAAGCCACTCTGAAAAGCCTTCCTGAAGAGGCAGCTGCATGTGACGACACATATTTTTCAAAGCTTCCGTGGAGCCACAAGAAAGGTTCAAGAGAAGCAGCTACCAGCGCTCATTGAGAAGCTGGTTACCAAGCTCAGGAAAGCGGAGCAGGCAGACGCGCGGCAAGCTAGCCATCTGTTCCGCTGTGGTGTGAAGATGCATGCAGGAGAAGACCCAGGAAGTTGTGGCGCCAGTTCCTGCCCCACCACCAGCAGAAGAGCCGATCCTTGGCCGGTAGCTGCCAGCTCAAAAGAGAAGAACTGCCAAACTCATGAATTTTCTTCAGTTTTTTTTCATCGCTAGGGGCTGGCGAAGACCGGCTTATCAGCAAGCAGCAGCGGCAGCAGGCACAGGAGTAGTTCGAGGGGTGGTTGGAGGACCACGGTGCAACAAGCCCCAGGCCTACATTGGCCTACATCCTGGCAAGCAGTGCCAGCAAACCAAACCATACAAAATCTCCGAGATGGGCCCATGTAGCAAACATGTGCTGCGCCCTGCCGCGCAGATGGTCCAGTCCGTCAATGTCCAGAAGCAACGTCTAACGTGGCTTCATGAGCACGTTTGTGTGCTTGAGGCGTTCTGAAGGGAGGACATTACTATCCTACTTGTAGCTGCTGTTCCTGCGAGTGTGAGCCGATTTTACCCAGCTTGATTGGCTCACCTGACTCATGGAAGGAGGCCTTGGTAAACCTGGGGATCAAGTATATGTCCGTTAGCACCCCCTAACGATCCTAACGCCCGCGCAGGACCCCTGAGGTCACCGTGTTTTCGTTGTTTTGCGATATTTTGTGGGTCGCCAGCAGTGGAATCCGAGGAAGGAACCGGAACCTGCGCCGACGCCTGCCATGAAGGCACGTCTCTCGACTCGTGCGTGCTTGCTTCTTGGAATTCCCTCCGCCGTCTAACTAAAGCGATAGACGTTGCGGGTGGTTCCTGGCCCTGGATTCCAAGGAAGTGGCACAGAGGAAGAAGCATCCAAGCATTCGCATGAATTGGTATGTCTCAAGTGCCATACAGGGAGATTTTGCAAGTACGCGCGGACTGCAGCTTTTATTACTGCTCCAGCTTGGATAATGAAGAGCGGAAACAGCGATTTCACGTTCAGCAGGCATTTAGCTGCACAGCAGTGAGCCTAGCTGGGTTGTTAAGAAGCTATGGAAGCCAGGGAGAGTTTGGAGAGTTTGCAACAACTTTATGAAGTGGGATGGGGGAAGATAGTGGCATGCTTGGGCATGCATGGTTCTGAAGACTTGGATGACAAAGCTCGTGATACAAGGTTGACAAGACTCAAGTCACTCTCAAGTCCATTGCAGGCAATTCCTTTGGTGCCCGGAGTCTTGGGACAAGGCCTGGTGCCGGCCAAGGCAGCTTGTCTGCAGGATGATGGCATCAGCGTGCTAAGTTCGGAAAAAATATGGTCATGAGAGGGTGTTTTCAGACATGGCATGGACGATGCACTGCATTTTTCAGCTGACTTGTGAGCCCTGCTAGTGTCTGAGGCAAGCATGGTCTGCCCATCGTTGTTTGAGATTGATTGAGACTGACGGATAGTACTCTTGCGCAGCCCCCGGCCAGGTCACCAACGCCATTGAGTCTCTGCAAGCGCAAGCTGTGCGACTCACGGCATCCACAGATGTTTGGTTCGGCTCGAAGTGGCTGAAACGGTTGGAGTGCGTGAGGCCAAGCCGGGGGCAGGAACTGCACATCTTGCAGAGGAAAAGGCCGGCATGCTGGGATCAATCGCAGGGGTGGCCTCCAGCTTGCAGCATGTTGGCGTATCAGGCAGCCAAGATGCTTGGTGGCAAGGCCGTTATTCCTGCTGTTTGTGTCTTCTGGCTGCGGCTTGTTGATGAGACAGGAGATTCCTGCTGGAATGTGCAGCGACGAGCTTGAGATCAACGACTACCCTCAAATTGCGCGACAGAAGATAACGCATCGGGACCAGCTGAACCGGTACATGAGTGTCAGATCCGGATGTCCGTTTGGATCCGCTTGGGATGTTTGGGCATCATCCTTCCAGACAGGATCCACTTGTCGCCATCGAGGAAATGACTGGTGCAAAAGTGCAGGCTTGCCAGTGGCCTGTTTGCAGACGTGTTCCATTACACTTTGATGTGATTGGCAGGTCAAGGGCCAGCACTTCGCTTCTGGGGCGAGAATGCCCGAAGGCTTTGCAGCAAGTGTAGAAGTTTGTGCTGATGGCATGCTGCCGGAAGGTGCAAAGAAGCTCTACGTTGAGATCATAGGCATGCTCCCTAACTGGGTCCCTGCTTTTACGGGCGCAAGCAGCAAAGCCATGGGCCAGGTCCAACGCAGGTCTCCGTGGCTAAAGCCAAGAACGAGGTTTACAAGATGATGGAGGTAAAGTGCACTAGCGAAGCGCCTCGTGCTTGTTGATATGTGCTTTGCTTCAGGCTCTCGCAATCAGAACGCTCAACATTCCTGGTATGTCACGTGCAGTGCTTGGCACGCCGGGAAGGCAGGACGGAGGGGATTGGAATGGATTGGAGTCATCTGAAGCGGTACGTAAGTATCTGCATAATTGTGTTGCCGAGGTATCAGTATGAGTTTTCGGGCGTGTAGCAAGCGCTGCCAGGTACGATCCAGTCACTGGGAAGTAGACGCAGCAAAACTGGCCAACAGGTGCCAGCAAATATGTCAATCAAAAAGGCATCCTGGAACACAGGGGACGTTCAGCTGCGTTCGCAGTTCTAGTGGCAGGCCAACGTTGCTGCCATGCTGCACCTGCGTCAGTCAGCCGCTCTCAGCACGCGTCTCGCATGCGCGACAAAGGCAGGCTTTGTTGACAAGTTGCTCGATGTGCATGAGCAGATGTTCACCAATTTCTCTGCATGAGCCATGAGCGCAGAAGTGTTGTCTTCCTTTCGAGGACGTGTCCGGCTCAAGCTGTTGAACCCAGCAAGCGTAGAGCGTCTGCCTCTTTTCCTCTGCAGTGCCTCTGCTGAGACACAAACTCTGAGTTTTTACTTTCCGTAGTGCGGAATGGCGAAGGAGGGCTTACGTGAGGCTATGGAGGTGTTTGTGATGTAATCTGCTCACATGTCTGCATGTTGCTGTTTGTCAGACAGGGCCTCCAGCCGTCTTGCAGACTAGTGTAGTGAAGATGAACTACGAGAAGATGAGGGAGTGAGCGCTCAGATTCGAGTGTGCTGTGATTTCAGTTGGGCAACGCGTTTCAACAGATGCCTTGGGCCATGCTTAGCAAAGATCACAAATCCGGAAGTGGCTAGACCAATACAGCTGGTTCCAGAATACATGTAAATTCAAGATGCACGCGACGAAGTGTGTAGCGTAGCCACTTGTCTGAAACTTGGGAGTTAGGACACAGCTCTGGATGTCTTGGTCGTTAGAAGCACAACCAAACACTTAGGCATGACCCGCGGCAATCAGCGCGACCGAGACCGCGAACGAGCAGCCAATCGAAACGCAGGCGATAGGTAGTCACGTCCTCCGGCAGAGCCGTGCTGCCCTGGTCAGCACTCTGAAGGTGCCAAGGCAAATTCCACCGTTAAGAACAAGGACGACACAGCCGCAAGAATCTTATTGTGCGGCCTTCTTGTCTGGTCCAAGAAAAAAACATGGCATCAGTTCCATGTGTCCAAACCAAGGCGATAATGCGGGAGAAGCAGCGCCTCGCCGAGGAGAAGAAGGAGCTGAGACTTTGCTTTTTGTCAACTCTGCAGCGTGCTGCTACCTGCTGCAAAACTCACGTCTGTGATCGTCTGTGTCGAGGCTGCGGAAAGCGCTGGCGGAGGTGGAGGTGGAGGCAAAAGCAAATGACATGTGGTGGCTAGGGCAAGGTTCTCAGTCAATTTGCTTGCTTGGAGTTTTGCCGATTCAGTGAAGATGAGCACCGCCAGCATAGATACCCAGGACTGCAACAAGAACAGAAGCTGCAATCGCACGAAGTGAGACGTTTTGCAGCCGATGCACCCAGGTCATGACATTTAAGACCTCCAGTGAGTTGCTAGGGGCATCTGCGTTCTGTACACGAATCAGGCACGGCAATGTCTTGCTTGACCGCGGCTGTGCCCACATTGCGCAGAAATCATATACCAAAGATCTGTACTGAAAAAGGATGGAGAGAGAATTCTTGACTGGCGCGTCTGAGCTTTGCTGAATGGCATGTTCCTTCCGTCCTGCTGACAAGGGACCTGGGCTCAAGCTTAGGGTGGCTGTGAAGGCATCAAAGTACCGTGACTCGTCCGCAAGTTTGGCACTGAACAGACACGCACGCCCATTACAGCATGTTGCGCCACTCAGGACAAAGAGTGGCCAGCATGTCCAGCATGTTCATGCCCGAGCGCTTCAAGGCTGGGCCTCCAGGCTTGTTACAGGCATCTGTGGCCTTCCTTATCTGACGTCTAAGGAATATCATCGCACACTGCGACAAAAGAGAAGTGAAGAGCTGTAAAGATCTTATCAACGCTGCCGCGTGTGGTTGAGCAACAAGATTTGAAAGTACTCGGCCTAAGGTCGATGAAACAGGTCGCCGGCTCTTTTGGAGGTCTGTATGCCATTGGCCTACATGGATCTTTTTCCTCCATGGTTCTGCAAGCACACCTTGGAGACGTTGGAGAGAACTGCCGGCAAGGCTGTGATCCATCTTCTCCAGTACTTCGACATTTGGACGCGCTCCGGCAGCAAGCTCCACAGCCAAAAGATTACTATCAATCCAATTGAGGTTGTTGCTGCTCATGGTCGGTGCCTACTTCATCTACAGGTATCGCTGCCGCACTGAAATCTTTAGAGCATGGTCGCTACCACTCTGTCTTTCAGCTCATTGCGAACATTCGTCTGCCAGACAAATCGTGGACAACTGGAGCAAAGTTTGGCTTGCCTTCAACCAGGCGAGATTGCAAAGGCTTTATGCCTGTGCCTCATTAGTTAATGGACCAAGGGGGATGGTAGGGCGAGAGACAATATGTGCAGATTACTGCTGAGAATCCTCTCTTGTCTTGCTGCAGGTCAAAGGCTTTCATGTTCCCACTTGGTTTTCCTGACCTGCATTTTGGATGTTATTAGGTCCCTCGTGTACAGCGGACCATGCGACGAGGTAAGGGTACATGAGACTCCCCAACATAGGGGATTCAGCGAATGGGATTCCCATGGTGTTTGCACAGCTGGCGCTCACGAAGACAATTCGACCAGTGAAGGGGACGATCCAGGTGGCATCCGAGAGTGATTATGTATTCCAGAGGTTTGTACGTGATAGCTAGAGAAATTTGAGGTACGACCAGGAATGCCTGTCGATCTGCACCTGCTAGATCCTGTTAGCATGCCATGCTGGCTGTCAGAATGCAACTCGTTGTTGCTAATAATGTCTCGTTGGATTATAAAGCTCCATATCACTTGTGACATCTTGTGACTGCTATTTCTTTCGGGAGCACCTGCGAATCCCGAGCATGGCGCTCCCCTAGTCAACACAGTTGCCTTCTCTGTGATGCAAACACAAGGCAAAGAACGAATTCAGGGAGAGAGGGCCTGTGGACGCAGTTACGAGAGGTTTTATCGTACCTCCTCGCTTGTTGTGTTTGCTTTTGTATCCCAAAAGGGCATGGATCTTTCAGGCGTGAAGAGAACATGAGAGGCATCCTGCGACATTCGAGAGATCAGCCGCAGAAGTTCTCTCATCATTGCTGTGAGGAAAATGTGCATGTTAATTTAACCGCTAACGCGAGACCGCCTCGGCAAAGGATGTCGAGGCCTAGAAACAAAAAAGCCGATCCTACCCCCACCCCCGGAATCGTGCTCGTAGGGGGAGGGTAAACTTACTCTCCGAGTCTAGGGAGCTGGATCTAAACACCCCACATGCACGGGCACTGCATAAGTATCGCAATCGCAAGTCTGCCGCCCCCTCCCCCCCCCAACCCCTCAAACTGATTTTTCCATGTTTTTGTCCTGGTGCCTACAGGGACCCCGCATTTCGGCCCCAGGACAGCCTGTGCAGAACCCAGGCGACCGTCCGAACCCCTCCGGCCCCCCTTGAAACTTAAAAAAAGAGAGCCGATCCCGAAATCGTGCGCTACTCTTAGTCTCTGGACTGGATCTAAACACTCCAAACCTCCGGCCTCGGCGGATTTTGCATGCTGTTTTCGTATCCTGCAGAGGCAAGATGGCACAAGCTCTGTTTAATGATCTAATCCGTAGCGATGCTTGCGACAAGCCGGCAAGATTCCACGATGCCGATCATCATGCTGGCATTTCTGATCTCTTGCGTTGCTTGACTTGCATGAAATCTGCAAGATGCACTTGCTGGACGTGTGTGTTGAGAGGGCCTCGCGCACCTTGCCAGAAAACCTCTAATGAGAGTTTACTGGACCACAAACTTAGCATATTGTTTGTAAAGGGCACACGGCAGGTAGCTGAATCTTCGGCAAGTTTTTATTCATGTTGCAAATCCAATTGGTAAACGCATTGGACAGCGTACGTTGCAGTTTGGACAGCTTTCGCTTCGCGATGTGGTGATGGCAGGATACAACAGAACCTGTCAGCAACCAGACCCAGACGGCTAGCAAGGCGCCAAAGTCCAAAGGGTCACCCTGGCCAGACTTCTGCGTTTGCCTCGTCGAGAGCTTTTTTTCCCTAGCGTTATGTGCCAGGAAGAGAGGGCAGGGCCGCACGGATTGACGGGCCAAGAGCTGCAGAATTCGGCAGACCTGAACTGTTTTGCGCCCTGTGAACCTATGAGGTGCAGCCGGAAGGTGTCACATGTCAGGCAACGCTGAGTGTCAGCCTGAGTAGAGAGATTGAGCCGCAAGGTTTTGCGGACCTGGTTCGCAGGATCTACACGAGTAAGCAGATGTTCTAAGCCGTTACGGTTCCTTACAGTATTGCAGCCAGTTTTCTTGCTTCACATTTGTAGGCTTGGCTGGCCGACCCTAGAAACTTTCTCGAATGAGCCAAAAACGGTCCGCTGATTCGCTGTGAATCTGTGTGTCATCGTGTGTCAGGTAGTCCGATCAGTGAATGCTGCTCACACTTTTGGTGTCAGGATCACGGCAAAGGCATACTTACGCTTGCACGGCAGCCCTGTCTCAAGATAATTCAGTTTGTGTGCATTACTGTCTCTTCTTCATCATGCTGCACGGCTTGTCATCACAACGGCCTGATTCTCTAGAATTTGCTCCAGAAGCCCACCCCACACTTGACCAAACCCCAGGCCAACAGAGAGCTCCCTGAGTTGTTTTCAAGTGTTCATCTCGCCAAGTGTTCATGCCGTGTGGCTGCTTCGAAGCATTGCAGCAAAGGTGCTCAAGATTGCTTTAGTGTTTGCACCCTGCAGACACACACCTACTTCCTTGCGCCAGGCTGCAAGGCGTTTTGGGTGCGCTCCAGGCACCTGGCGACTATGGTGAGGACAGGGATACATGCTGGCCTGCTGGATGGTCATGGAGCATAAGGAAAGCACCAAGTCATGCTGCAAGTGGCCGGGTGCTAGGGTGGCACGGGTCTGACAGTTTCGCGCACGCAGGAAAGGGAGGCTTTTCAACGCACGGTCGACTTCCTCCTCTCTGTACCGCTTTTGAAGAAGCAGCGCCTTGCATTTCAAAGAGAACAAGAAAGCCTGCCCACAGCCACGTTGGCACGTTGGCACGTTTTATCCAGGAGCAGTTTTCGTAGCTGCGCCTGACTGCCAAGGTTGCCGAAAGCCGAATTACCAAAGGTGGCTCAGCAACTTACACGGAGGCGCTGAACAGCATGCTGCAAGAATTGCCACAACCTTGAGGGGCTCTAGAAGCGGCGTCCGCAAAAGTGTTTCGAAGATTTTGGCTGGATATGCGTAAATTACAAGCTGATGGCCAGGGTATGGCAACCAGGCCAAGTCCTCGTGAGCTGCCCTGCTGAATCTGTGATCGTTGGGTTGAGCAACCGCTCTCCAAAACTGGCAGTGCATCCAAGGACAAGGCGAAATGGGCTTCTTGGGCCGACTCAGCAAATATTGTGCATTGTTCTGTTCAGGTCTTGACACTACTGCAGATCTAAAGCGCAGTATCACAGGCCCTGCCGCCGCATGAGTTGGAGCACAAGGCCCAAGTAGCAGTAGCAACAGTCAAGAGTGGTAGCCTCAGCGGCGGCGGCTGTGTTGATGGTGGCAGCGCCGCAGGATGAGGAAGAAGAGAGCAAGGAGTAGCAGCAATAGTACTAGTACTAGTTCTAGTAAACTGCCCGTAGGTGCCACTACAAATCACTACAGTACAACTACTGCCGATTGAAATGCCAACCTCAGCGCCACAAGACTCCTCCAATACTTTGGGACATGCGTTTTGTCCTCTCCACAGCTTTATTGGCAGGGCATGCCCCCAGCAGTGTGGGTTGGCTTTCAGACCCTTGAACGTGTGTCCATGAACCCATGATGTGGGAGCAAAGGCAGAGCTTTGTTCTTGATAGAGAGCGGAGAAGCCGAAGTTGTGACTTGCCGTGGGCTGAGACTTATTCTGATTGACCATCGCCTGGCAGTGGTCCAGTCAATGTGAGGTCAGAAACCTGGAGCTCCAGAGGTTGTGCGTGCAACGCTTGTAGCTGGGGACTACTTCGGTGGCCACACACTCATCACAGAGCGTGGCTTGGCCTGGATTCTCCATGTCTTTACGCAACGTGACATTGTGTGACATTGAAGTCCCGCATGGCTGGCAATACAAGCCCAGCCATTTTTCTCAAGCACGCATTTGAGGTGCAAATGCCAGCGTCTTAGCCGTTGAAGCTGTCATCATGTTGCACTCGCGGCAACGGGCTGTCGTCAATGCAATCGGCTGAAATTATGCATCTCTTCAGCTTGGATGCGATCTGCTGCTTTGACAGCTTTTTCTTATCGAGTCAATGTCCTGTCAAATTCTGAAGGGCTTTTGCCTTTGGGCTGCCTTTCTCATGATTGGGTTCTCCACATCCAGCATTCATGCAAGGTCGCAACGATAGTGGCAAGCCGCAAGAGCAGCCTCGCCCCTGAACTGCAGATTGACATTGCAAGACAATAGTTTACGCACTTTACCTTCGCTTGCTTGCTCCGTTTTTTTTGGAGACAGCTGGAGCATCAGAGGTGACACTTTCATTGTCAAGAGATCGCTTTGAAACTCTTGGCCTGAGACGATGGCTCCTTGATTTTGTGCTGCTTTGCTGACTTCCCGTGCGTATTGGTTTGATTGCTGCCAAGGTTGCAGTTTCCGAAGCGGCCGGCCATCTACAACTCGCCTCAGGATCATTGCTAATTTCTGTGGCATGCCATGGTAGGGCAACAGTCATGCCCATGCTCCCGACCTGCGCAGCATGGATTTTAACAGATTCGAGGAGGCCGGCGGAGCCGAGATGAAAGACATTCCGAAGCTACCGGCGCAGGAAATAATGTTCATTTCTAAGGTGCGGAGTTCAAGCATTGATGTCAAGTGAAACTGAAATAACTCACATGGCGGGTTGAAGGCAATCAGCGAGAATGCCAACCTTCGACCCTTGGCTGCAGATACCTGCATCATGTAGAACTGCATTTACCTCGTTGACACACATCGAATCATGTCAAGAATTCAGCGCGGTGATCAGGAGCGCTGCTTGCCGCGAGCGAAGACAAGCTGAAAGAGCTTGCCGCCGGTGCAGAAGCCTCCTCAGTGGGTTCGATGCCGCGTCGTACAGTGCTCGCAAACGGAAGCACACACAGGATGCAGTCTGGCCGAGGTGCTGAAATCATTCAAGAAGGGCCAGACAATAGTGCACCTTCGCAGAAACGCGGGAAGGGTATGACTCTGCATTTTTGTCGAAGCTGCAATTACTAGCCTGTGGCTGTGGTGTCATTCGTGAAGTTCTAAGGCAAGCCGGAGAGCATGTGCGACAGCTGTACATCCTCAAGACCGGCATGGTCGGCGTGGCCTTGCCTGCAACGAATGAGACAGCCACAGCTCTACAACTGAAGCTTGAGCAAGTGCCGCCACTGAGGTGGTTGTTGATACTTCCAGTACATCTGGCGGGCACCAGTCAGCAGCATGGTGGCAACAGAGACCTGAAGCTTGCTTGGCAGTGCCAAGAATCAGCTCAGGCAGAAGCCGCTGTTGCAAGTTCCACGATGGTAGAGAGACTGCTTCGAAAGCAAAACTTCCTGGCACAACTACAGCGGAAAGAGCTGCTGGGACGAAGATGCGATTACCCCGCTATCTACTGCACTTTTGATATTTTTGTCTTCTCCCTGCTGCCCATCCAGAGCTGCAAGTTGCAAACGTTTAACACCTTCGGTGCTTGTCGGGTCAGCATGCATCGAGAGTGAGCCGAGCGAGCATCACAACATGCCAGCCGCTGTCTACCACTATGTGATCTTGCTTCTGCATTGGTATTGGCAAGGGCAACCACCGTTACAGCGTCTTTGTTCGTGTGGAGCCCAGAGCTTCACAGTCTACAGCAGTCTGCTTGCCATGCCGGCAATGTGTGTCTACCGACATTTGCATCAGGTTGGTGCCACCCAAAAGGGAGAGCTCCATCCAGGCCTGTGCAATTGTCGATATTGTCGATCTACACTGGACTCTGAGAGAACAGCTTAGGATCCGGAGAGGGATTGGGCTTCGGTAGAAGGAACGGCTAGGCCTGGGGTGATTTTGTTTGAGGTCAGGAAGCCAGGGTCCTGAGAGAAGGGTTCAGGAATGATTAGACGTGCCTGACATGCTAGCCATTAGAGTAGATGGAGCGGGATGCGCACGAAAAGTCTTGCTGGCAATCAGTTCGGATGCTTGAAGCTTGTGACGGTGTCTCAGTCAAGCACTAAGAAGCCATACTCTCCACACTAAACCTGCCAGCGGTGGAGATACCACAGAACTGTTGGGGCTCACGCCGCCCGAAAAGTCCCCCGACTGAGTGGGACCTGTCTGCCGAAACCTCTGCTGTGATACTGGCCTGCAAGCATCGCAGGTGGAAGAGCTCAACCGCGTCAGGGTGCAGCAAAACAGGCACGGCGCTTGAGTGGAATTGCTGGAGGTCCTGGCCTTACGGGTCAACATGCAAAACGGTGCTGGAGCAAGTGGGCGAATCGCAACGATCACCTGCGAATGTCCAGGTCCAGGTGGAAATACAAATGCAGCCGCACAAGGCCAGACAGAAGAGCCGACAGTTCGAAGTGCTGAAACCGCAGCTCACCTGAGATCATTATGTCTTGCAGCAGAAATTGTCTGTTGCTGGCTTTATTGTTTCTCTGCCCAGGAAACAACATTGGGTTCTGGCGATAGTTTTGGCGAGCTGTCAATTCTGTGCCCACCGTGTTGCACACTTGTCTGTTTTTGCTGTCTGGACGAGTCCTGACAGACTGCAGATGATTGCAGCCTTGGCCAGAGTGTGATGAAGCAGGTACAAGATGCCCATGCATGCTGAGTTCACAGCAAAGGAGCAAGGGAATAGGATCTGCTATGCTTGCGATGTTGGGACCGATAGATCGTGTCCAAGTTGTGCGACGTTCCGACTGCCGCTGTTTGACAGGAGGATTGCACCATGTACGTCATCGACCGTAATCATTTCTCTGCTTGCTTTAACCGGAACGTGGCTGAGCGTTCGGGGTTTGATGGGTTGGCACAGCTGCTGTTTGCAGCGGCTTGCACTGATTGTTGAGGGCTGATGGCAACGCTCTGAGGAGAGGGAAACGCTTTGATGACTTTCTTAGTCTGTTGGAGGAGGCCATGCTCGCTGCTATTCAGATTGATTGTGCATGAACTTCATTTGGAGTCAGGTGCAATTTGACGGCAAGCGACGCATGCAAGTTTGCATCATGCGTGCTGGAGGTACAGATTCTTTCGCCCCTTCTGGCATCTGAGCGGTTTGAGCTGGCATGCAATGCAATAGGCCGGGAGCAGACACCCAAAGCAGCTGCGCGTGCTGAAGTGACATTTGCAGGTCTTGTGGAATTTCAGCCTGGTGAGCGGGTTCTTCATCAAGGTTTGATGAGAACCGCAAAGCTGTGGTCGTTCTGCAGCACTGGTGTCACCAGATCTAGCCATTTCATAAGTGCTGGGCTGCTGGTCCCGTCTGATGTCCTGAGGTACGTGATACACTCAGGGACAGGCGTGGCTCCTTGACGCACTTCAGTTTGCTTTCGCTGCTTTGGCAGCTTGCTTATAACCTTCAGGCCTGGCTGAATGCGGATTTTCAAGCGCCAAGTGCTTCCTCGGTTTTCCTGAAGCTATCAAATCTCCTGCAGGTAAGTAATTCTACTGGTAGATGACGACCGTCTTGGCAGTGCATCATATGACATAGCTGCATATTGACAGAGGGTCAAAGCAAGCTCAGGTGAGTTTAGACCAGGAGAAGAATGGAAAGAAGGTCAGCAGCACATTGGGCCGAGAGCAAGTGATGTGACACGTCATGTGGCCATGCCCTTTAAGGAGAATCAGTTCCTTACCGACCTCAGTCGTGCGGCACATTTTGGTGAGCGCTCGCTTCTGCGTTCAATGCTGAGCATGGTCCATACATGATGGATGAGATGTCCTCTGATGGTCCTTTTTCTCGTGAACTCTGCTCTAGGCGGAGATGCAGCCGCTCCGGTGAACATAGATGCTGGCCCAGACGGAGTCTTGAACTGCATATCTATGCCCCTTCCACGCTACACCACAGCTGCCCAAGAGGCATGCCTTTGAACCTTCAATTTCTGGAGCGGCTTCCACAATCCTACTTCTCCCAATTTTTGGGCCGTCATATGCCGGAGGGCTCTTTTGACGAAGCTTTCCCTGCTGGAGACTTCTTATCATGGTTGCCCTCTCAAGCAAACTCCCGTGCTACTTTGCACGCCTACATCTGCTTGGTATCTACGATCCCCCTGCAGCTGCATCAGCGCAAGCATTTTAGATTACAATGGATGGGGGGGGATGGTGACAAGGAATGGTCTGCTTGACCTTCTGGGGCGACACGATCTGTGTTCTTCTGCGGAAGGTTTTGGAGCAGGACAGCATCCATGCCATCCTACGAACGGGTTGACAGGCTTTGATTTCGGTCATCATGTTGATGTGCACGAGCCATTTCGGAGCTCCTGCTTCAGAGCTGTGGACTCAAGCCCAACCAGACCATGAGGGTGGGGAAGTCCTGTGCGTGCGGGCGGGGGCATATGGCACTGAACATTTCAGCCACAACCCATCGAATTGTCAACCTATTGCCACCCCATCTCTGGCGATTGGAGACCTCATGCCTTAAACTATCTCAGCTGGGCCTTGCATGAGGCCGGTAGCCGAGCCTACTATTGGGTCTTGCCTCTCTCATAGTTTATGTAGCATGGTATTCCTGTGCTCGTCCAACCTGCCAAAAAGCGCTCCACGACGAAGAGTGCCAGAGGTAGCTTTCAAGAAGAAGAAGACTTACAGCATTTTAATCCTCGAGCTTCAAAGCCCCAAGCCTTTGGGCCCCTAGTTCTTAGGGTCTTCAGGGGGAACGTGCGTTCATAAGCAATCTGCATACTGCATACATACTAATTAGGGTGCCCACGCTTTGGGCCGAGACAGCCTGAGCAAAAAGTTCCTTGACACTGCGTTCACTGCTAACTTCCATTGCAGCTGCGATTGCAATTTCTAGCAGAGTTCTGGGGAAGGTAGAGTATCTAATCTAGAAAACCCTGAAGACCTACACTGAACGGTGAGCTTTGATGGTTGATAAATGTCATCCGCGTGTTATGTGGCCAACATGTACCGGTGTTTTTTTTCCTAGGGTTGGCTTGGCTTGGGCTCTGGAGTTAGGGCTGGGCCCCTGGTCCCGTGGTCCTTTGGTCCGTAGACCCCGGCCTGCGGTCCCGAGGTCCCTTGGTCCCGTGGTCCCGGCCCTCTGGTCCCTTTGGTCCCTGGTGCTTGGTCCCCCACTTTGTGGGCCGTGAAGCTAGAATATGGGATTGGGTTGGGCCATGATGTTTTTCATAGGTGTGGCTCCTTCTGGTGTGGCTTGCTTAGGTGTGGCTCTGGTCCCCTGGTCCTCTGGTCCCCTGGTCCTCTGGTCCCCTGGTCTCTTCGTCCCGCTGGTCTTTGGTTGCGGCTCTCGGAAGGTTACGAATACTGCGAAAAACAGCATTTGGAGCTTTTGAAAGGTTAGGACTAATGCAAATGACAACACTTGCAGTTCTTGAAATGCCACGAATATCGTCTTATATCGTCAATGACAGCACTTTGAGCTTTACTAAAAGTCAGGAAAACTTAAGTTGCGTTTGCGATCTTGAAAGGTTACGCATGTTTGCGGAACAAGACAGGTTACGAATGTCGTAAATTGCTGCATCGAGAGATCTTGGCAAGCCACGAACGAGTGTTTCAAATTCCAATATGTGCGCCTCGTGGAAGAGTAAGTACACTGCAAATCACAGTTTTCTCGTAAAGCAAACACATCACAAAACACGTTGCAATACGAATCCATCACAGGGGTGCAACAAGATATACGTGTTCTGATCGTCGTTCATGGTTTGCAAATGGGGGATCCCCCCCCGCTATTTCGTACTGCAAGCACGATGCACAAAAACAACATATTCATCGGCTGAAGAAGCCAGTGTGTTCTGATCTTTGTCCGTGCTTTTCAAACGGGGGGGGCCGCGCCCGCCAACCCTGCGCCATTATGTACAGGTGCGCAAGGAGCTTTGTGTTGGCATATTTGTCCAAACCTGAATTCTTATCATACTCGTACAAGAACTGTATGTTCTCACCA